GTGAGCGTCCTGGGCTTATACTTGTTCTGTGTTCATAAACACGCTTATTAATCTATTTTCGTATTTCACGTTTCCTTTATTTCTATTCCCCTATTTTCCCCCTTTCCTTCTTTAAAGTCAATTCGATACTCTCCTCAATTACACAGAACCTGATTTAATGTTATTATTCCACTATTATTATTATCTTGTTTTTATTCATTTTCAAATATTGCAAATATAACGCTAACATTATTCAAACTTGGGTATTATTGCATTTTCGAAGAAATCCGAAGTGATTTCTTCATATCATTTATGTACCCATAACATGTTTGTAAACAATCATAGTAATAATGTACGGAGACAGGCAATCAAGTGGGTGTATATGCCAAAACATAAATCTTATGAGGACAGACTCTAGAATCTGGAATTATTCTCTCTGAGATACCACCCCGTTGCGAGCACATTATCAGAACAAGCAATTGGAATGTTCTCCCAGCCTAGGTGACTACAACAGTCTACGTGGATAGTTTTAAAGGGAGATTTCACAAGCACGTACTCCCCAAACCAATCTTCTGCCTGTTAATATAATAGCTGATAGTATCCAGAAACCGGACTGTCCTGCGACAAACGCAATCACTGAAATAAACGACACACCCACTGTAAGGTCCATTTTGAATGATTTGTGTGTGAAAATCCCTCCATGTATATACTTGCAGTTTATTCTTATTGATACCTTTGGTTGTACATTTTTATTAGTCTTTTTCATTCCATTTGAGTTAATAGCATTTGTATTTTATTATAGTTTTTATTTTTTCTTACGTCTTCACTAAGTTTCCGTGTTTCTTTCTGAACTGCATTTATGTTGTTTGACTTGATATCTATTCTTGGCGGCAGCTATATTGGGTTGTTCCTCCCTTTGATTGTGTTGCGTGCATTGACTGGAATTGTGCATTTTTGATTGTGAGTTGAAGCACTCTTCCAGAATTGAAAACACTTGGTGTTATAAAGCAACCAAACCTTATCTTTTGAACGAATCTGTGTGTGATCTATCCAGACAGGATAGAATAACATTTATTTGTTGCGATTGGTAATTTTCTAGCATCCTTTTTCAACTTTCTTATTTATTGTAATTTAGATTTGATTAATTGAACTATTGTTGGTTGGATAGCTGGGTGGTTATATTTATTTAGGTAACGATGTACATTTAAATTTATGATGAATTATAGAACCGTCATTTCACCCGATTACTTTGTTTTGGTTTCAAACGGACAAGGGCGCGTATCTAACCCACCAAGACAGCTATTCTTCAGTCCAAACCTTAGTTTGGATCTTACACTCACAAATAACTGCTACAATGAATAGAACTAGTGCAGTTGAGTGGATATGTAGTGGCATTGAGCCCTACCACGAGACAGTATGAAAAATAGACATTCAACATTTAACGCGGAGAAATACATAAGAATGGAGAAGGCGGGGAGAATGAATTGAATGAATCGGAGTTAATCAGATGGCATGGCTCGACCATGCAGGCGTGGTCCCTCCTGAATTTTACGTTATGTCTTTTATTCATATTAAATGTATTGTTCCATCTCTAGCCTAAGATTGTTCTATATCATGTATTGGTAATTGTTACGACGCAGTGAGTTGGTGTAGATGATGATGTGACTTCCACGTAAGATCTTAAAGATTAGGCAGTTACATCATAACAAATCTACAATTTTAGGATTAGGTCTATTATTAGAGCAGAGCTAATATCATAGTAGACCATAATTCTACAGATAGACCACCACACATTAGATATTTAAAAAATACCAGGTATTTTAATGAAGTACCAAACGATCGCGAAGAAATCAGTTGGTTTGTAGAAGCTGATAACAAAGATATTTGATTCACAAACCATTGACTAAAGGCTTTTTGATTTTGTATTCATGAAGTTTTAAAAACTGACACTTCAACCGCTGACTACCTGGCAACTGAATATAGTTTTGATTAATAAAAGATTCAGGTCAATGTTTCGGTTCAAAATGTTTTAGCACTTATTAATTATCATTTTTATACTCTAATTCTGTCTATCTAGGTGGGACTAGAAGTTATGAAAAATATTTGAGAGACGTGGTATTGGCCTAGAGAGGATCCATTCACTTTCTAGAAGAAAATGAGATTATTTCATTATTTTTATTTTTATTTGAACACATAAATATTGGTAGAAGAGGGGCACCAGATATATATGCGCCACACAAAACAATGGGAATGGGAAGAGAAAAAGAAGGTAAGCCACATATAAGAAAAAAACCATAACGACCACAGATTAGTGCGTGGCAGCGTAATAATAACAATAATGGGGGAAACCGAAAGGTACAACCGGAAGAATCTTTTCAGTTAAGGAAGTTACAACCACTGTTTACGAAGTAAAAGAAGGTTACATCAGGATCGTCACTGGCTTCTATTCTGAGCCATATCTGAGAGCGTCTCCAGCCAATGTGTTGAACCATCTCTCGTATCCCAGCCAGGAAGTCACGAATGACCGACAGAAGTCAGCTCCTTACAACTTTCTTTCACATCACGACACCATATCATACACTGACCACCTCTCCGCTTTTTCCCAACAGTCTCAGCGCCAGCAAATAATGCATGACGTGAAATTCTCTAAGGCGACATTCGTAGAATATTTCCAAGCCACTGTAGTCGATGTTTCAAGATGGTGACACCGATTGAGTTATTGTCTCTGTGCCCAAACACACATTGCCAAACCTCTGTATTACTAACATGGTGTTGACACTGGATGTAAGAAATCCTTCGGAGACAGCGATGATCGAACACAGAGGTTTCACAAGCATGGAGCAAAACTGCTCTCACCGACGCGTTGTCGACCCGACCTTTTACAGCCAGACTGACACATTACACGTGAATCGATCTTATCACTCACACCACCACCAGCACTTATGCAGCTACCTAGATACACGAAATTCTCGACCACTTCTATCTGCTCACCATGCAGGGTGAGTACAGGATTAGAATCCTGCCAGTCTTGTGGAAGCACATTGCACTTCGAAGGTGCAAAGCACATACCATACCTACGGACACTGATTGCCGACTGATTAATGCGGATTGCATGGCTTGGGCATTCTCACACAGTAAGACATTATCATCCGCATACTCAAGGTCGAGAAGTCTTTCTCCAGGCAACAGATCCACACCACCATTACTTAAATCCGTCAGAGCTGTTTCCAGAATATCATCGATGGCAAAGTTGAAGAGAAATGGTGAGATTGGGCAACCCTGACTAACCCCACTGCTCGAATGGAATAGTGGAGAAAGGTAGTTGTATGCCCTCACTCTGCCTGAGGTGTTTGTGTATAGGGCTTTTAGGATGTTAATAAACTTCTCAAGCACACCCTTCTTCAATAGACAATCCTAGAGAACAGTTCTGTTCAACGAATCGAAGGCAGCCCTGATATCAAGAAACACTACGATTGTTGGCCTTTGATAAGTATGGCGGTGTTCTAACACTTGGCGGAGGGTGAAGATATGATCAATACACCCTCGACCAGAACGAAACTCAGCCTGCTCCTCACGAGTCAATCTCCCTCGGGTTTTGAACAACCTACGGAGTATGACGGAAGCCAATGTCTTGGACGCAAACGGACGTAGACTTATCCACCGATAGTTGTTACAGGAACGACGTGAACCTTTTTTAAAGATGGGTAAAACTACGAACTCATTCCATGACGTAGGAACATTCTCTAGTTCCCAAACCTTTGCAAAAAATGTTGTCAGTTCCCTAATCAGAATGTCACCACTATATTTAAAAAGAGACGGAGGTAAATCATCTGGACCCAGTGCTTTGTAGCGCTTTGAGATTTGGAGTTCCTTGCGAACTTCCGCCTCATTTGGTGGATCAGTCGTCACTGGCCATGGAGGGCAGGACAGTCTGACCGACGTTGCCGGAGCAGCAGACCAGTCGAATTGCCGTTCGAAGAGCTCTAACCATCGTCTAAGACGTCGATGGATGTTGGTGATTGGCATCCCGTCATCCTCACAGATTGTTCCACTCACACCAGATATCTTGCTGTGAGTGGTTCGGATGAGTTGGAAGAGCTTCTGGCAGTTGCCAGATGCAGCTGCTGCTTCCAACTCATCAGCACTCTCAGGCCACCGGGCTTCTCGGTTCTTACGCAAGCTTTGCTTCGATGAGTTTGTAGCGGTAAATAATTCCCCAAAATCAAATAGCTCTGTAAGTTTTCGACATTGGATGCTGACCACAGTTTTAGTGGACTCATCTAGCTGAAGGCGCTCGGTCAAGCATCCGCACCAGATCACGTGTGGGAACGCCGTGCTCAACATTTGCCGCAATCGCTAGCCAGATTAGTGCAAACGATCCTCGATATATTGATAGCTTATCAAATATGTCTTCGATCTCCTCACTTCTGTCTTTTGATTTTACTCGGTGGGTGCGCTTCGTATTAGAAGGTGTTACTGGTTAAAGCGTTGTCAAACTCCGAATACCTGTGGCATCTTCAAGTTGTAAGGAACCAGAAAAAACCCAGTGCTTACAAGCGGGACGTTTCGCAAAGCCGCACACGGCTTTACTCGCCGTTTTCATGGCGTCATTCTGATGCATCCAATGCTCTTCTATACTTTTCGGTGGGATGATCAAATGAGAGTTATAAACGTGTGAAAAATGAGGATTTTGATCGTTAGGGTTAGGAATTAAATTTAAAGTTTTCATTGCAAACTGACATCAGGCATACGGATGACTAAATTTTTCACCAAAATCCAAGACCTGTTTTCTTAAACCTGGTTGGTTCGTCCATAAGATTTCTCCATCCATTTATTTGCTGATCGACAAATTTAAACCTCACAGTTAGTCAAAATTAAGATAAAGTGTTATAAAATAGCGAAAATAACTGCATTTAGGATCTAAGACAAGTCATCTTACCTAAAACTGTGTAACAGACATCTACAGGTTTTGTTTAGCACAACAGAATTTCAGTTGTCATGCTGACTACTAGAGACACATTTACAAATATGAAGACTGGAAAGCCTGAACACTCAAGAGGGTGGCAATATACAGCAACCAATATTTTGGGCGATAAAAGAGAAAGCATGTGCAAGAATGTTTTACTTCAGCGAGTAGATTTATTTTTTCAGTCAATTAATATCTTAAGTCAATCCTAGGACGCAGTAATACACATTGCCTAAGAGTCCCTCCTCCACCATTCACTTACGGAATGAAAAATGTCAAAACTAGTGGTGTCTCTGATGGTATGACTTTCCCCTAATTATTTTTAGCTCTTCACTGGGTTGATGATATCGCATTACGCCAGAAGTCCAATGATCATATATATCTAACTCGGGACTTTGTGGCATTAAACTGTGACAGTGTAAGGCAGGGAGTGACAACAAGCAAGGAAATGACTCATTTTAGGGCGTTACACGATAGATTGAGACCGAAGCAAGCGAAACGCAGATCAAGAACGGAGTCACCAAAACTACATTCGGATGTCACTCATGGTGTGCCTAACAAGTGAGTAGTTTTAATACCATTATTTAGACATAGTTCTTCACTAAAATAAGTGCGACCCGGCCTGTCTATTTTTCTAACCACCATCCAGCTCTTGTCTTGTTATAATACATTTTGATTTGCTTGCTGAGGAATTTCAGTAATAATTGGCCTGTTATTTGCATTTGCTATTCCGTTAAGTTCAGTAGAATTCGACACCGCGAATATAAGAGAATATTCCGAAGACTGCATGTACTTTTGCTGATATGTTCAAGTACTGAATGAATCAAGTTTTCTCCATTTCTTGAAATACATGTAAGATTTGCCAACCAACAACAGATTTGTGTGGTACATTCGACGGAAATATTACCAGTAAACGTTCCTAAAGAATTAAATGAAATTAGATAAACTTAACCCAGTACTAAAGAGTTTACCACTTTATTCTCCTAAAGTACTCCTGTCTCAATATGAAAAAATGTTTGTTGAATTCTGAAGACGCTTTACATAACATCTTGATATCGCTTTAGCTATCAAAAACAATTTCGAACAAGTTTATATGCTCATGAAAGAACAATACTTGTCCTTTATGGAAGAAGTGCCAGTAAACGATGATGATAATTCAACATAATTGATAACATTATTATCGACCACAGGAACGAATCTTATTGCTTTAGTTAGGATTCAATTCGAATGTTTAGATTACAGTTATAAAAATTGCGTACGAACAGCATTCCAAAACCATCTGGATTACAACGAACTACTCACTTGATAGTTTGGGCTGTCTTTTTTAATGAACTCTGACAGCAAACTAGGACAATAGAAAAACCTATTTTGGAAATTTCCCATAATCTTACATTATCAATGGTCCAGCACCGCGCTATATTTGTAGCAGCCGTGATAATTGAGTCGGCAGCTGAACAGAACTATATCACTTTTCGTATGAGAACTTAAAAAATCTGCTGAGAGTGCTTGAGTCTGTTGATTATTTAGTATGCTGGAGATACTTGCAGTGAAACAAAAGCATGACTTTTTACTGGTTGTCTTCATAACTTTCAAGTATTTATACACTGAGTTTAGAACCCTGTCCGGCAGTTTGGGATACCAGACAAATCGACTTCAAACACTTATTATTAGAAAAAACGGGGTCCAAACTATCATCAATCAATTACACGGTCAAATGGCTACATATGCTAAGAGACTGCTTCGGACCCAACAAAACCTATATTATGGTGCATTACAACCGCAATAGAAAACTAAGACCAGTACAGACTGAATAAATTGTGAGCTAGAAATATTCAAGGGTGCAAACATGCATGTTAATTACTTTCATTACTAAAAATTCATGCTCCATTAAAACCTAATTCTCATATTTATTTAGAGCCTCTACGCCAATCCAAGAAATCCTTTCAAACAAATATCAAAAAGATTGGATTGATACACAGATGAGGAGATCAGACAAACTAGAAGCAAAATTAGTTGGACTAAGGGTATCAAATGTATTATTAAGTAACATGTCATACTCAGAGCATGTCCAGAAGAGCTAACCATCCTGACATAGATGCGATGGTCAAAAGAAATTGTATGAGGAAAGACAAAGAAGAAAGCTTCTGGAAGTTGAAGAGGTTTGAACAAAATGTAAGTTTATAAAAACTTTTGAATCCTCATGTTTGGACAATCTACTTGAACTGAGATATGCATATGGCTAGTAAGACCAGAAGAATCAAACAAATGTTCCGATTGACATGTACAGAAGCACCCCACAAATCGTAATAATTTTAAGTGAACGCAATAAGGTAATGGCAAACTATTGCGAAAAAACAACAAATTTAATACTTAGTGATGTATGGCTAAAACTAAATCCTTACCAACAAAAAGGATTGGGCAACTGGTTTGTGATCATTACTGACTTTGAAGTGGTAATCACGTATACCAGGATCAAAGTTAGTCATAGGATTTTAAGAGTAGGTCAGTGAACACAATAACTGACGTCTGATAACCAGTTTTGACAATTGGTACTGAAATAATTCGAAGGTAATTGAACGCGAAATGCTTGGCGAGGTGTGAGATCCCCATCCATCTATATTACGTATGTAATTAGATGGAAGAAATTGTGATTTATTGTTTGGAGAAAAATACACTGCTTCAACCTAATCTATTTATGTTTATATATGTGTATACTAACTCACTACCTAATGATTATTTCACGGCTTTTTATTCTTACTGAAATCTATGGGAACTAGAATGGTGTTCCTAAACCTTCTTACCCGAATTAAATTAATAAAGCTAGTGTGTATACAAAACCAGAGCGCGTGAAAGTATGTTGACCGATCGATATTCCTTTGACAGTAAGCAACTTATTTTCCAGATAGATAATTACACTAACTTATTTTTTAAAGAAATCAAACAACTGCCATTCTTATTCAGTAAAATATCTCCAATATTGACTAATATATTTGTTTAAAACAGTATGGAGACGTTCAATAACACAGGTTAGTGTGATAACCATGATTACCAACCGGAGAATCTGTGATTGGAGATGCATCAAATTCTAATCTAGATTTAAAGTCTCAATACCGTTACATACTTTCCATGACAAGAATCCATTCACTTAATTCAAACAATATTCCTTGTAATTAGCATTCTCAGTGTTAGTGATGATACTATTATTTAGACTTGTTTGCAGTACATTTTGCTAATTTCACACCGGTGTTGGGTTACTGGGGTTGGTATAAAATAGTCCCGGGTCTTAAATTTATTACGAATCAGTGATGACTAAATTACTTTATTCTATATTGTTTAAACTCAACCACTTCTGTATTTTAATTTTAGGCTGTCGGGCGGATAAACACATTTAGAAATGAAGAATGTCGAAGACTTGCATTTGAAAAAGATAAAAACAGTAAGATATCACGAATCGGATTACATGGTCATGGAATCCAACGTACAGGAGAATGTGCATAAATACAATTTGCACTTATGCTGCACAACTACGAAAAACACATTTATTAGGAAACAGCCCAAAGTAAACTAGAAATCTACAGCAAAGTTGTTTACCTTGAAAACAACAACTTCATTATTTAATCATCAGTTTTGAAAGCATTTTAGTGGTACGATAGGATTAAATTGGCCGCATTCTGTGTGATGAATATGTAAATAAGGGTCGAGACAGTGCATCTCACCGAAATATGGTCTAAACTATGTTGTAGTGAAACTAAACTAAATGCAAATGAACCTTTAAAATGCGATATATATATTTTTTGTAACTGGACAGAACTATACTTAAGAAAACAGTGATTCAATAGTCTAAACATAAGACTCTCATCCACCAACTCATGAGTTGTCACGCAACACATGATCAGTAAACAGGTGTTTAAAAAAATACTTGGTTACTACTACTCTGTCAACAGCATGTTTGCAAGCTGTTTATCAATCAGAGTAAAATATTTTTACAATATAAGACATTTAAAGAGTACTTAAATTTATACAAAACATTAGGACAGAAATAACTAAGGATTAAAATCAAGGCATTCAACTATGAAAGTCAATTTAACTGAATAGAAAATTGGTTTTGAGTACCGAAAAATTGTGTGAGAAAATTAACTGGTGAAATTAATTTACAGATGCAGATCGTTCAAATAAAAGATATAAGAAAGACTAGAAAAAGTACCTAACACAATATCTCGATGAAACAGTATGTTTTCACAGGTTTTTCTTATCTTTATCTGTTGAACCAGCTGAACCACACTGATTTGCAGCGCCAGAAGTTTGTTTCTGGTTAGTGTATATTTCATTTAATGAAAAAGCATTAATCATATTGTCCCAAGTGAATGTGAATTTCTGTACTGTTTTCTTAGGTGCATTGATTATAGCTGGTCTGCGTGTCAGTTCATGACCTTGACGAAATAAAATCAAAGTAGGAAGCTGTTTAGACCAGGAGGATGTATCAATGTTATGTTTAACACCGACATCTGGATATCGTATTACATCGATTTTGCCGAACTTCATAAGATCTGTTCCAAATTCTTCTGACAGTTCTGCAAAAATAGGTTGTAGTTTAGTACACGCAGGTGACCACACAGTATAAAAAGCAACGAGCCATGTTACTTTAGGGTTACCACGAATAACTTCTTGCTCAAAAGTAGTATCTCGCAAGTATAAGACTTTATCGGGCCCATTATAAACAGGTTGTTGTAAAAAACAGGCTTGCACTAACCATAAAACACCATACAATATGGCATATACAACATTCTGTTTCCAGAACATAAGTAGACTAACAATTTTAGCAAACATGTAGAAATGAGCAAGATAATCGGGAATAGAGAATTGACGTTTATTGCGCAATGCGACGAAGCTTCCTAAAAATATCAACATTTCATATTCTTGGAGATTGATGTAGCAATCATCATACATCCATGTGCAAAATAATGGGACAGTTTTTGATATAAAAAAAAGAGCGCTAAGTAGCATATTCACGATAAAATATGGATGAAGTAATAGCTTTAAATCCCGTTTATGTTTCATCTGTAAAATTAAAAGACGGAAACAAAAAATGTTATAAATGAATTATGGGATTGCATCAAAGTGATAAGATTAAAGCTGTAGTGTCGGCTACTATGTTAAGCCCACATAACTCATTTTAGCTTCTGGACAGACCAATTTATCGATTCATCTTGAGTCAGATTTGACCTTGTTAATTATTCACTTATCAGCCTTGACTGTTTTCATATGAGCGTATGTGTGTTCATTTCCTACCTCACTCATAACATATCTGCAACTTATTTTTGTTCGGTTATAAATATCGATTCACACTTGGTTAAATTGAGTTGGCTCACACACCATCACTGCACGTTATTTCACTTCGCTTTATTCCCTTCGTCTTCTTAGCTTCATTTCTTTGATCAACAACTGTACGAAGTGTACGTATTCAAAAACCCATTCTCGTATTTCACTTATTTGATTTCGTTATTCACCAACGCAAGTCTATAATAACATACGAGAATTGGCAATATGTCTATTTCGATAATATTCATACGATATTACTGGAGTCGGACATAGGGCCGCTCAAAAGCCTCAATAATCAGGAATCATTAAAATGTCAATTATTGATCCAAGAAATATTCACAATCGACTACAGAATCCTACAAGAAAATCAATGTGGTTTTCCAATGTATATATGTATTATTCTGGTATTAAGCAGTTGAAAAGAAAATTTTAATTATTCTCTAGAAGGCTGAGTATGTCGTAAATAACTGTGGTCGTATATAATTTTAATAGCAACTAATAAAACGACTCATTTAGGTCATAAGCTTAAGTACCATTTGAGTGACCAAAGTGATCGAAATGTAATTTAGCCTGGGAATCAAAGAGTTATGCATTCGATATTTGCGACTTATTACCTGAGAACTCGACGTTACGGCTTGCGTCAATCAGATTGCCAGCCTTCCGACAAAACCCATTTAGTAATATAATTTATATGAAACAAATACTCTTTTAATGTGGGAAGCCTTATGGTAACATTGAAGCGCATTTTTGTCCAGTTTGACGGGAGAACTTTCCATATAATCCTCAACAGTTTTATTCGTCCCCATTTAGAGTACGGAAACATAGTGTTTCCTCCTACACTCCAAAAGTATAAGGACACTCTGGAGCGTATCCAACGGCGAGCCACGAAATCAGTTCGGGGACTCAAATTTCAACATTACGAAGAGCGCCTCCAACCACTTAACCTTTACCCATTAGAGTATAGGCGTCTTAGAGGTGATCTTCTAATGGCTTACAGTATCCTTAACACTTCTGGACATCCTCTTAAACACCTACTTAAGCTTAGTCCCAATACTAACCTAAGGGGTAACACCCAGAAATTGGAGATACAATATAGCAGAACGGACTGTAGGCACAACTTCTACTCCTTAAGAGTTGTCAAATGCTGGAATTTGCTGTCAGCTGAGCTAGTCCAAGCAACTTCCCAGCTGTCCTTTAAGGGGCGACTTGATCTATTCTTAAGGACTAAGGATAGTATCTTACTATGATTTACCAATTTCTTTTTTCTCTTTTATAGTTAATATGCTTAGGTCCCTGCCTGGAGTTATTGGTGATTCACCGCTACTAGACATGGAAGCCTGTTAAGCGAAAGCTTCTTCCATTCCGTCAACAACCATTTGAACCATCTGAACTTAACCTATTTAACAGTACGTTGTGAGGAACTTTTCAAAAGCCTTATTAAAGTAGATGTAGGCAACATCTACATGTAACTTTGATATTTAAGAACGCATCAACTTTCACGGGCTCCTTATAATTTTGTGAGGCAAGAGTATGCTGTTCTAAAGCCATGCTGCTTTTCAGATATAATCTGATTTACATCTAGATACATAAACAATTACTTATGAATAATTTTTTCTAAATTTTCGACAATCATGATGGTTAGATTTATAGATCGGAGGTCCTGAGGTTTGTGTCGCGTATCCGTTTTGAAGATATAGCTTATTATAGCATCCTGTTACTCTTTTGGTTATCGATCCTGGGTTACAGATAGATTGAAAAATACGCGTGAGGGATTCGCAAAGAGGTGATTTTTTCCCTTAGTAACCTAGCATGCATTTCATCGGGTCACATGGATCTGCTTACATCAAGCTTATTTTGCAGATCAAAGACATGGTCACGGTGTTCAGAGTGCGTGTGAAGGGATTTCTGAACACATTCTAAACGTTGCATAGGACACTCTGGTTCTATTAACCAATCTACTGAAGATATTGTGCATAGTATCTAGTATATTTTCTTTCCAGACATCAGTTTTCGCTTGAGCTGACATATCGTTATTTACAACCATATGAAAGTAGAAGACCAGGACTGCATGGTCACTCTTACTTAGGAGTGAGAAATAATAGAAGTGACGTTATCCTATTAGTGGGTCAATATGAGATTTAGTAAGTGTGGCTCGGAGTCCGCTTCGTTCACACGCTGGATTAGAGCACATGTGATAACCGCATTAACTAGTTTCTGTTCTAAAGGATATTCTAACCATCCAATTCTCAGATTTTTTGTGTCTGCCGTAGGTATACTAAAGGCTCCTAAGAATAAACATGGACTACTTGATGACCAATTGTTGAAACTATCTAGTAAGACTTCATTCAGCTCTCGGTTTAGAAGGTTCTTGTCCTTTGCATTTCAAGCGGCAACTTACTAATTAGTATGTCCCATTTTAACGGGATGTATTATGAATAACGTTAAGGAGATAGTACTTCGGATAAATAGAACTACTCCACCTTTACACTTCTACTAGTGTGAGACTTTGAAATTCCCATTCCTTGCTGTCTACGGACTGCGTCAGCCATGTTCCTAAACTACGACAACCTCCGGCTTGATAGAGTCGATCTGTGTACCTAACTCTGACAGTTTTTGCTTTTTCAGCATATCGTCTTCTTATCAGTCAGTCAGCTGCAACGTAGGACCAGACACGTATATGCATCGGCCCAAGTTGCCATACCGCATTAGCACAACAAGATGAACACCGGATTCATAGGAGTAGTTAATTCAGTGGTGGTAATATATAGAAGAAAGATTGTGTATAAGGAGATAGTACAGGAAGAAAGAATTAGTTCCTAGAAAGATATGAAGCGATTTTAATCTCTTAATTTAAGGAAGACAGAGAGTGTATACACCGACGCCATTGTGATCGATTCTGAGCCATGTCACCAAGAGTCTCCAACCATTGGTTACGATAGTCACGCGGACCCCAACTAGGCAGTCTGAATCTCCCAACATGACTCAGACCAGAAGTTAGTGACTTCAAGCACTGATGCCACGTTTTGGTTTGGCCGCCCCTAACTTTCTTCCAATTATCCCCTGCACTAGTCAGCATTGCGCGTCGTGGTAATCTGTGTTCAGGCATACGCAACACGTGGCCCAACCATCTCAGTCGATGAACATTCATAACCTCATCAACTGATTTACCATCATTCCCTAATACCCTGCGTCTAACCTCACTATTACTTACCCGGTGATCCCAGCAGATACCCGCAATATTTCTAAGGCACCTGTGGTCAAATACTAGTAACTTACGAATATCTTCTACTCTTAATGGCCACGTTTCGCAGCCATAAAGTTGGACAGAACGAACTGCCGCGCAGTTTACTCGTCTTTTTATTGATAGATGGATATCTCGCCTTCGCCATAGGTGACGTAAGTTGGTAAAAGCCAAACGAGCTTTTCGAATCCGTGCTGAGATTTCGTCAGACACCAACCCATTAGGGCTGATCAGACTTCCAAGATAAGTGAAGTTGTTGACGCAGACCAGTCCTGAAGCAACAACTTGCATTTAGAGGGGGAAAAGCGCATCCTAAACATCGTGGCATTGTTGCTCAGTGCTACCAAAAGACTCTGCATTTCATCAGCGTCTTCACCAAACAGGACTATGTCATCTGCGTATTCTAAGTCAATAAGTGCAACTCCTGGTAGGAGATCAATACCTGAGATTTCAGTCGATGAGAGCGTTATTTCCATCAGTAGATCTATGATGAAGTTGAACAAAAATGGAGAAAGTGGACAGCCTTGGCGGACGCCACTTGAGGTTGCGAAAGCAGATGACAGTTCGCCATAAGCTCTCACTCGACTAGTAGTGTTCGAGTAAAGAGCCTTCACAAGGTTTATGTACTTCTGAGGTACGCCTTTCAATGACAGACACTGCCACAGAACCTCTCGGTCAACAGAGTCAAACGCTGTTTTTAAATCAAGGAAGACCACTATTGTCGGACGCCGATAAGTATGCCTGTGTTCTAGAACCTGACGAATGGTGAATATGTGGTCGATGCAGCCACGACCAGGTCTGAAGCCAGCCTGATTTTCACGTGTTTGCAGCTCACGAGTCTTAGTTAGGCGAAATATCCTGAACCAAGATAGGGTGCTACATGTAGACGTAGCCTACATTGATTTCAGCAAAGCTAAAAATGTCGGAATTGGAGGCAATCTATTGATGTGGAGAGAAGACATCCTAGTTGGGAGCCAACAAAGAGTACGTGTAAACTCAAACTTATCTAGCTGAGAAACTGTGATTAGTGGAGTTTTTAAAACACTATGACACTGTAGTGTTTCCAGGATCATATAATAATTGATTGGCATTCGAAACTTATAAACCCAGTCACAAAGCCGTAATGCCATTATCAAGAACGAAATTTCCAAGAAGCATTTTGATGTCAGCACACCAAC